CCGCGCAGGGCGGGACGGCGTAGGTGGCGACGGCAGTGCCGCACATGGCGCGTAGAGGGGTGGTGCCGAAGACGGGGGAGCTGCGGTGGCGAGGGCCCTGGCAGAGGACGGCGTCGAAGGCGATGATGCCCTCGCAGGCCAGCAGGCAGTTGGCCCAGTCCTCGGGGATGGGCCTGCTGATCATGCGGCCTCTCTTGGACCACCAGGCGTCGCCCTCGTGCCGGAGGGACGTGGTCAGGGCCTGCTGGCTCTTCTGGTTCCACTCGGCGCTGATGGAGCTGGAGTTGGCGGACGTTGGGTCGGGGAGGGAGTCCTTGGCCCCGAACACATACAGGGCCTTGAGCCGCGGCGCACCCTCGGGGCGGGAGCCTCGACAGGCGTACTGGAGGGCGCCGCGGAGCTTGCCGTGGTTCAGGTTCTTGACATCTCGGATGGAGAGTATTCGAACGCTGTATGTTGGGTCGTTGATGATGTCATTGCAGAGCTCGGCTGTCACGGACAGGCCGTCAAGAACCAAGGTCTGGACATCGCGGAGGAGGTCGCGCCGCTTCAGGGTTGAGAAGACGCCCCTCAACGGCCCAGAGTAGAAACTGCAGAGAAGGATTAGCTCGACTGGATCGATAGATAGTGGATTGGCGCAAGTTGAGGGCGCATATCTGGAGAGGTGGAACCTACTCATCTTCGGTAAGATAATCGTCAAGCTCGACGTTGTGCCAGGTTTGACCTTGGTCGCTTTTACCAACGTCGAAACGGGCTGTCTTGACCCGTGTAAGATCTAGGTGTCGGAAGACTCGAGGAGTCTGGTAAAGTAGGCAGCGGAATGCTTTGCTTGCAAGGGCGAGGTTGAGCAGGCTCGAGACAGGAAGGTAAGGGACAGTGTTGTCGAGTATAAGAGGGTTGACAAGAGTCTCGAGGAGAAGTGGAGTGGTTGAAGACGTCAATACATGAGTCTCAGAGCGCGTTCGGTGGACAACGTTGGCTTCGCTCATGTCAGGCCAGGTCCTGTCGGAAAGCCTAAACGAAGCTGTAGTCTACCAAGGTGGTCTCAAAGGTGAGCGGCGGTTTCGTCTACGTGTCGACGGCGCTAAAAGAGGGAGTATCCAGTATCGGTCGTTCGTGGAAATAGTTGGAGGTCTGTATGCGACAGCTCGTTGTATACCCCGAAGCTTGTTAAGCTTGCTGGATCGGTGTAAGATACACTGGAGAAGAAAGCTATGGGGAATTAGACAATTAGAACCAAGACCAGAAGTAGCCTGGACAGGCAGGATATAAAGGGGCATGGATATAAGATACCTGGATAGCAAGTAGTGAATAGTGCTGGATAGAGATAGATCTTGGGGAATCGTTGATTATTGGGAACAGGGTATCGTTCTCAGTTCAAAATACGTTCCGCCGCCTTAAACGCGGCAAGCCAGGGCAAAAGCCATATAAAGAGACAGAAAGACAGCTGGGATAGGGATTGAATGGTACACTTGACCAGGTGAGGAGGATTGAATCAGGCTTGAAGGAGGAGGAGAGGTAAGACAGGAGTATGTACTAATAAGAGGAGGGCAGGAGGGACCTGGGAGCGCAGCGGCGCCGCTCGAGGTACATCTGGGATGGTGAGGCTCTGGTATCGTCACTGCAATACCACAGCTTGGGGGTACGAAGGGGCCACCGCCCGGGAGGTAGCATGGGGTCTCTCCATCCTGCGTCTCGCGAGTGCGTCTACCGACATGCAGGTCTGTGTAGGCCCGGTTCCCGTTGAGCACTCATGCCTGTCTGGTCCTTGTCTCGTTTGGGGAGGACGGGCGTGGGCAGCCAAGAGGGTGTCAGGGTCTTGGGACAGCTGGGACGGACCAGGCGGGTCATACGGTTTAGGTAAGTAATGGAGCATAATCGAGTGGCGTGAGGCCAACATTGTATTGGTGGACTTGCAGGGTCCTTCTGGACTGGCCTGATTGTCTTGTAATTAATAGCACACCGTAACGCACGTAGTGGGGACGGCTGAGTCTAAATCGTTGGGGATTCACTGGAACTGGCAGTCTTACCAAGACCATCCTCAGAGGGAATAACTACTCAAGTGGTGTTGTGTTCCAGCCGGTTGTGACTGGAGATACCAAGTCCCTTGCCTGGAGTGATTCACATTAACGCATAATGTTAAGGTTCTTTTCTCCGTCTTGCCTCTGGCTTGTCTCAGTCGTTTCTTCTTTTGATCTGCTCTTCGTTGCACGGAACACGTATGATCTTGGCGCCCTTCCGCCTCATAGAAGTGATCGTCTCCCCACCCCCCTTTAATGTCTGCCTGTCTGTCTCTCCTATTTGACGTCTGTGTAGACCGCTTTTGCATAACCCAGTTTGATTCCATACAGATAGTTATAGACAGGATAGATATAGGAGACACGCAATATCTTTCCGAGGAGCAGGGCCATTGGAGAGATCTACTCGTCGAGCCGGTCGCAGATGAGGTGGCGGGAACGGAGTTTCTTCGATCAGCGCTCCCTCTCGCACCGTGCCGCATTCCAGGCGGCATCACCGGAAACCGGGTAGCTCAAGCTGTAAGCCTTCGTCTTTGCTCTGTTTCTGGCGACGCAACCCTCGGCTCCAGGTCTGCAGCGGTAGGCGTGTCTGCACAAGCGCTGCAGCTCACGGTCACCAGATCTGCGAGATATCCCCCCACGCATCCTTCTCCACCGACCGGCACTTTGCTAGCCTATGGTATGCGGATGGGAGCGTGCAACGAGGGTGGCAGTCACCCATACTTTCTCTCACATAATGCGTTCTGTAATGCCCGACTTAGGCGCTGAGATACAGGCATGGAGGTAGTCGCGCGATCAGAGGCACCCTCGACCGGCTGGCGATCGCCGGGACCACGCAGGAAGCTGCACACATGCCTTAGTGTCGCGGAGTGAGTGGTTCGGGCGAGCGAGGGAGCAAGGCGAGTACGTAGAGCGCCCCGTAATTTCCGCAGCCAAGCTACTGATGCAGGTAGTTTGATGATCTTCGTCAAGACTCAATGGGCATTAAGATTATCACTACGTGTTTATATTTGGCTTGAGTCTGAAGGAATATGTACAGGCTGGAATGGGGCGAAGGAATGGACGTTTGGAGGGGAAAGGAGGAAATGGAGGACGCACGCCCCTCAACCGCGTTCAGCAGCCATCAGCACAATATTGGCCGACCCTGGGTGCTTCCAACGTTGCGTGCCGTCAAGCAGGGGGAACAGTGCGATACGATACGTCTGCTGGTTGGTGTGTAGGTGTGTTGCGTAGCATTCATGCAAGCTGAAAGCAAAGTCCAATGAGAAGATGCCCATAGCCCGTCTTGTTATTGCCCTCTTGCTATTGCCCTCTCATTCAACCCTGGATCTTGCTTGGGATGCTGAGGGCCATGAAATCTGGCGAGATCGACGTCATCAGCTGTCTCTCTTGTTTGAGGCCGATGGAGTGCTCCATCCCGCAGACTAGAGCTCAAGCTATGTCGGAGCTACACCATCTCACCACCGAGATCTCCGGCGATGTCTCCGGCGCTGTAGGTACATTCTGCTTATGTAGCTTGGGGCAAATGCAGGTCTCAGGGAGCATTATCTTGTGTATGACTTGGCACCCATTTCTTTGATGGGTAGGTAGGGTCACACAAGAGGTCTCTCCGCAGCAGCAGGCATCCATCTGCCGTGCTTTGAAATGCAATCCTCAACAATTCCAACCATCGAGGTGTCATCTGTCTCATGGACATGGTCCTAGCTAGCCTCTAGATTCACTCGTCAACCTTGACATGGCCCACTTGCTCTCACATGCCACAACAAGATCCAGATGTCCTGAATTCTTATTAAGCCCCTGCTAGTGCTTCTGGTGCTAAAGAGTTGAGTACGTACCGTAATTTCAAGGTGAGAGGGATACACACCGTGAACCCGTTGGTTGATGAATGCATTTGTTTCTACCTACTACGTATGTAGGCGAGGTAGAATTGCTTCACAGATTATATTTGCTTGCAGATGCCAACCATATTCGTCCCTCATGATGAGTCGCACTTGCTTGCTGAGATGGAAGTGGGAGCACGTGACGCGTGACGTGACTGGCTGTAGCCTGTAGCTTCGAGGTTCAACCATCGACTCTGGTGGAACACGACCGAAAATCGCTGACTGATGATGCTGCTCTGCTAAAAGATTCTCGACAATGCGGCGACAAAACCAACCAGATCTGCTCTTCCTCCACGCTGCCTTGAGCAGCAAGTAGCTTCAATTGTACAACGCGGGTGATGCGACCCCGCCCAGACCTTTTCTACCCTGCGATTTACTTTGGTGTCTTTCCACTGTGACGCGAAACACCCAGACACGACGCAATGGCCGACTCGTCGTCCCTTAGCTGGTCGGCCAGCTTCGCCGTCCTGCCCGCGACAACTGCGCCGACCAAGGCCCTTAGAGGCGACAAGATCCTGCTGCCTCCATCGGCCCTCGAGAACCTCTTGGCAGCCTCGACCTCGTGGGCCAACGGGTTTGGCGACTTCGGACACCCCCCACGCGACAGCTTCCACCAGCTCCCGAACCCCCTCATGTTCCGACTCGTAAACCCCAAGAACAATAATGTTGTTTACGCTGGAATTCGCGAGTTCTCGGCTCCCGAGGGCACCATTGGCCTCAGCTCGTATCTCGCCGATTCCCTTGGCCTCGAGGAGGAAGACCTGAAACAACAACCCGAACCCTCTCGAGACGATACAATGGAGGTGGATGATGAGGTCAGCAGCGCATCCGTCCCTCTGATGATCACCGTCCACGCGAGACAGCTCCCCAAGGGCTCGTTCGTGCGATTGAGACCCCTCGAGGCGGGGTACAACCCCGCAGACTGGAAGGCGTTGCTGGAACGACAGCTCCGCGACAGCTTTACGACTCTGACGCGCGACAGTGTTCTCGCCGTACAAGGTGTTCAGGGTGAAAGCTTCAGGTTCTTAGTCGATAAGATCGCACCCGAAGGGGACGGCATCTGCGTCGTAGACACCGACTTGGAAGTTGACATTGAAGCTCTGAATGAGGACCAGGCCAGGGAAACGATGCGACAGATCATGTCTGGATCGCAACCAGAAGTTTCTGACGGCAGTTCGAAGGGAGGCGAGCTTGATATCTGGAAGCCTGTTAGTGGGCAGGTTGTACCTGGGGAGTACGTGGATTACATACTCCCCTCTTGGAATCGCTCCCAAGCTCTTAACATTACCTTGTCAGGCATCCAGGACCCGGATAGCCTCGACCTATTCATAAGCCCGAAGTCTCCTCAGCACAGGTCGTTGCCGCGCGATTCTAGCCATGTGTTTGGACACATGCTTCCAGCAACCGACGGGGTGAAGAACGTATCCATTGCGCCAAGCAATGTTGAGCTCGACGATGCCGAAGCAATTCAGGTGTCAATTTATGCCTACCGTTACGCCACTGAAGATTCCCGGACACCAGTTACATTTACTCTTCGAGCGCAGATGGAAACTCCTTCACGTGGCTCCCTAGCCCAGCCATCAGGAGACGACGATACTAAACATTCGCCGGACGACGAGCAGTGCCAGAACTGCCTACAATGGGTGCCAAAGCGTACGATTGTCCTTCACGAAAACTTCTGTCGGAGGAACAACATCATCTGCCCTCAGTGCAAAACCGTCTTCAAGAAGGATTCCGAGGAATGGCATAGCCATTGGCACTGCGACCGGGATGAAGGCTTTGGGAATTCAAAACGGAGCAAGGACAAGCACGACGACATTTTTCACAGCCAACGAGAATGCCCCTCCTGCGAATTCTCCTCGAATTCCCTCTCGGATCTCGCCAGGCATCGAACCAGCGTATGTCCCGGGAAGATCATCCTCTGCCGGTTTTGCCATCTCGAGGTACCGCAGGAAGGTGATCCGATCAACCCTGCTCCCGAGGTCGTCCTCTCTGGCATGACGGCCCACGAACTGGCGGATGGAGCACGAACCACGGAATGTCACCTCTGCGACAAGATCGTGCGGCTCCGGGACATGGAGACTCACCTGAAGCACCACGAGCTTGACAAGGTCAGCCGGCCGAAGCCTCTCATCTGCCGCAACGCCAACTGCGGAAGAACGCAACATGGTGTTGGGCCCAAGGGTCAGATTGGCAGTGGCAATGGGCAGAAATCAGGCCCCAGCAACGACCTCGGGCTCTGCTCTCTGTGCTTTGGGCCGCTGTATGTGAGCATGCATGATCCGGAAGGAAAGGCCCTCCGACGGCGTATCGAAAGACGCTACCTGGGTCAGCTCATGACAGGATGCGGGAAGCCGCACTGCCGGAACGAGTGGTGCAAAACTGGCAGGGCAAACCAGGAGCTCGAGCCCAAGGGGTCCAACGCTTCTGCTGCCCTTCCCCTAGTCAAACCCCTGCTGGAAATGGCCAAGGGCCCGTCCGAGCCAATGTTCTTCTGCGTGGATGAAGCGAGCCAGTTGCGCCGGAAGATGGCTGAGATGGTGGCGGCTGAAAAGGCTTGGGACCTGGAATGGTGCATCGCTGCGGCAGAGGCGGGCAAAGGCGATGCTACGCAAATACGAGAGTGGCTCCAGGCATGGGCGCCAAGAAGATGAAGTGAGCAGAGGTTTGCCACGGTGAGGGGGCGTAATGAGGAATGTGATTCAAGGGATTGATACCCAGGAGTATGCATAATGAGCGGTGTTGAGCAGCATTGACTTCCATGACAACTTAGATATTATCAGCATTTGGATTAGGATAAACACTACATAACATGGCTGTTATTGATCATTAGATCCTGTTTGCGAGAGTTGCCCGTACTGGCCTTGGTGAAGAAAGCATCAGCGTCGTTGAAGTCTGGAGTCTTCCCAGCTCCTCAGTGTCATGGGACCCCACGTGAATCCTCCAAGCAACAGGACGCAAAGTGCATGAATTCCAGCTAACGTATAGGCGCTTCTAGATCAGACTTGGCGCAAAAAACCACGGAGGTTGAGGCTCCGGCTTGCAACCCTGACTGTCAGATGCGGGGATAAGGTGTAAACAGAGGCGAACACCGCTAGTTACCGAGCTCGTCTACGCGGAAAATTTATCCATATGCATATGTAGTCAGGAGAAATATTCATAGAAACTATCGAATTGAGAAGCCTAGAAATAGAAGTCAGGACTCGAAGTCTTGAAGGTGTCGCTGTGAGTCCTCGGGTTCAACACATGGGTGTATGGTGGAGTGTAGATCAAGTGTATCTACCCCAAGAATACGACACGACATGGCAATGGCGCCCAGAATGTCACAAAGACAATCGCCTGATTCAGAGTGACACTAATCACAGGGAAACCATGTCATGGGATACGGTTCGTAAAGAGAAGTGCTGTGGACATGGAGATCCGGCAGGGCGCCAAGCTCGCATCACATATGCCTGGCCAGCCTTCCCCAGCAAACACATGCACCCACACGCGTAAAGCAAAGTCTAGCCCTGTGCCAGTCGGTCCTGATCCGGATCTTCCAGATCCTTTCCTGGACTTGCTCTTGTCCCAACTTTGTCTAGACTCCTTGTAGGTACATGTCAAGCTCTCTGTCGACGGGAAGTGGGAGAGCCGATCTACCTCCTTTATTCGTTACCATGCATGGCCAAGAAGGTCTTATTTTCTGACTTCCCTTGTTCCTTTCAAATGGGAGACTAAAACAGACACTGCCTTTTGGATTTCTGCTTTGAATCTGGGGGTTCTGCTCCCCGTATTGCCGAATCCGTTGAAACGTGCTGTTGCATCTCGTGAGAGGGGCCACACCCATCTACGGACAGAGACCTCGCAGCTATATCAAAATCCACCATGGAGAATATCCCAAAGGAAGCCAGAGTACCATCGTTGGGTATCAGCCGCTTAAAAATCCCTGATCCCGCATGGAACCCCCAAGTGGCGCTCTCTCGACAGCTCCTCTTTTGGGCAAGGCGTCCAACGTCTCGACCTCTCTCCTTTGAGGCACACTGACCCTTTTGCCGCTCCCCGTATGCTCCTGGAAATACAACATGAAAGCTAAATGAGCTCCGGAGTGTGCGCGGAATGGAAAAGGAGCTGATGGAGGGCTCCATCCGGGCCGTCAAGGCGGCTTGCCACAGCTCCCTCTCAACCGGTTGGCTCGAGCGGACGTTCAGACTCCGCCTGAGAAACAGATCCGAGTCTTGTGTAGCGGAACTCTGAACCGGGTAACTGAGAAACTTCTGAGGTGGGTTCGGACGGTAACTATTCTGTGAGACGCCAAGTGTTGAGAGCAGTATATAAATGTCTGTCTTTGCCCAGGGCGTCAGTTGGATAGTATTCTCCAAACAAGCAGCCCCCCGAAACCAATTGTCTTATAGCAGATACTTCAAGATCATAAGTGTTGGCAACATGTTGTCTCTCGCCGTTCTGTCCTTGATCTCCGCGGTTGCCGCCCAGCAGGTCGGCACTGATACCGCTGAGACCCATCCCAAGATGTCTTGGAAGAAGTGTACCAGTGCCAACAGCTGCACAACAGTCAATGGAGAGGTTACCATTGACTCCAACTGGCGATGGATCCATAAGGGTATGTGATCTGAGCTGAACTGATTCATTCGTGGTACCATTTTATGCTAATTCGTCTCTTCTTTGCGGTTGGGTAGTCGGTACTACGACCAACTGTTACGATGGAAACAAGTGGACGTCTGCTTGCAGCAGCAACTCTGATTGCGCCACCAACTGCGCCATTGAGGGAAGCAAGTACCAAGAGACCTATGGTGTGACCACCAGCGCCGATGCTCTGACCCTCAAGTTCGTCACCAAGCATCAGTACGGTACCAATGTTGGTTCTCGGCTGTATCTGCTCAACTCTCCCACTAAGTATGAGATGTTCAACTTGGTCAACAACGAGTTCGCCTTTGACGTCGACCTCTCTTCGGTCGAGTGCGGCCTTAACAGTGCCCTGTACTTTGTGGCCATGGACGCCGATGGTGGTATGGCAAGCTACCCTACTAACAAGGCTGGTGCCAAGTATGGAACTGGGTATTGTGATGCCCAGTGTGCCCGTGATCTTAAGTTCATTGGAGGCCAGGTACGCGAGGCCATTGAGACATATCACCGTGTCTTACCCTTTTCCTCCTCCTACACACCAATTACAGAAGCAGAGACTAACATTGTTCATGATAACAGGGCAACTACGAAGGATGGGTTCCCTCCACCTCCGATGCCAACGCTGGCGTTGGCAACAGGGGCGCCTGCTGCGCTGAGATCGATGTCTGGGAGTCCAACTCCCATTCCTTTGCTCTCACACCACATGCGTGCCAGAATAACGCCTACCACATCTGCACAGCCCCCAACTGTGGCGGCACCTACTCCGAGGATCGCTTTGCTGGCGATTGTGATGCCAATGGCTGCGACTATAACCCCTACCGCCTGGGTAAGACCGACTTCTACGGCAAGGGCAAGCAGGTCGATACCTCCAAGAAGTTCACGTAAGAGAGACCTCCAACAATGAAACCCCTGAGACTCGTCAACTGACCAACCCTGCCCCGATCCAGCGTTGTTACCCAGTTCAAGACCACTGGCCTGAAGCAGTTCTTCGTCCAGAACGGAAAGCGCATCGACATCCCTGCCCCCGCCTACAGCGGAGTCCCCGCCAGCTCCGAGATCACAAAGGATTTCTGCGACAACATCTTCAAGGTCTTCAACGACTACAACCGATACTCCGAGGTTGGCGGCTGGTCTGGTATTCAGAGCGCCTTAGCCAAGCCGCACGTCCTCGTCATGTCCATCTGGGCCGATGTGAGAAGACCAAGAAGAAAACCCCTGGGTAGCCATTCCTTTTTTGCTAACGTACTTTGTGAACAGCACTACGCCAACATGCTCTGGCTCGACGGCGTCTGGCCCAAGGATGCCAACGCCAGCGACCCCGGCAAGAAGCGAGGCGACTGCCCTGCCAGCTCTGGCGTGCCAGACGAGGTCATCGCCAACTACCCCAACGCGTAAGATCCAGACCCTGACAGTAGAGATCTTTCTGAAGTGGATTGGTGCTAACTAGATATACGCAACAGGTTCGTTACCTGGTCGAACGTGCGCTTCGGCCCCATTGGCGCCACCACTGGCCTGTAAACAGTCGAGCCGACGTTGGTGTCCGATTGCGAAAACGAGTTTGGGATATGGGAATGGACTTTCTAGGTTTATGAGATTCGTAAGGATGCAGTGCTACTCTGCCTTTTATGCTCTGGTGCATCTGCTGGAGCTATGTTCGGCACGGGGATGTCAGATGAAGCTTCCGTAGATCCATCTGCATAGAGGACTAGATCCTGAATATTAAAGCCACGTTTATCTATTCCAGGGGGGCCAGACATCTTTGATCAGGAATCGCGGGATTTAGTTGATATGATTGGGCTTGTCTAGTCCGTTTGTGCATGATGTTTCTTGTTCGCATTCTGGCTTCTTCCGACGGCTAATACGAAAGCGAGATGCCTCGCATCGCCAACAGCCGAACTCGACTGCTACTATCAGCACTTCGGAAAATTAGTGCTTCTTCGCGCGCGGGGAAAGGCCAATTCTGCGGGTCGAATATTCATGTACGAACAATTTCCCCATGTTGAATGACTGCCGGGGTGAGGCGGTGTCTGGCCCCCTTCATAATGCGAAGGCGTATAAGTATGGTGCTTGTCCTCGTCACTCTCTGCCGCTCTGCAGACAGGACCTCACATTCTTCTTTCTTCGTACTTTCATCCGGCACTGACCCTTGATCGTCACTTGTCAACCTCCAATTCCATTTGAGCCCAATCTCCATCATGGCGAGTAGCAAGCCACTCTCAGAGCTCACGGTTGCCATCACCGGCGCAGCAGGAGGACTTGGCAAGGCGATCGCCCAGGCCTTCCTCGACGCTGGCAGCAAGGTCGCCATCTGCGACGTCAACCAGGAGCGGCTCGACCAGGTCAAGGAGGAGTGGAAGGCGCACGAAAGTCGGGTCCTCGTCTCCCGGACGGACATCACCGACGAGGCTGAAGTCGAGGCCTTTGTCCAGGGCGTCACCCAGAAGCTCGGGGGTCTCGACATCTTCATCAACAACGCGGGCATCATGGACAAGTTCGACGCTGTGGCCACGACGCCCAAGGCGGTATGGGACCGTGTCATAGGCGTCAACGCCACCGGTGCGGTGAGTAGCATAACATCCTGATCTCGAGAGTGACCTGTCCTCCATCATGTGCTGATCGTCTTGGAAAGTTCCTGTGCACCAAATCCGCCGTGAACGTCATGCTGGCCTCCGGCACGGGGGGCACCATCATCAGCATCGCCTCCAACGCCAGCATATACGGCGTCGCGAGCGGGGTGGCCTACACGGCGAGCAAGCACGCCCTGCTCGGCCTGGTCCGCAACACGGCCGGCTTCTACGGGGACAAGGGCGTGTACAGCGTCGCGCTGGTGCTGGGGGGTATGGACCAGACCAACCTGGTGGATGCGTTCCGGGAGGGCATCAACATGGAGATCCTGGGCAAGATGAAGGGGTTCCTGCCGGGCTACGTCCCAGGCGAGACGGGCGTCGAGCCGGCGGACGTGGCCAAGTACTGCGTCTTCCTGGCGGATCGGGCGGTTGCGCGGGCGAGCAATGGCGGGACGATCAATGTGAATAACAACTGGCCTACGATATGATTTCCAGACTGCAAAAGGTCCAGCTACTTCATGTTGTTTCGGTGGATGGGTGGTGGTGATGGAGCAGTCTTGCAGGAAATGTTGAGCCAGCATCACCCACTGCAAATAGCTACATGTACATATGAGATATTGATGCTTTCACAGCCTTGCATACGCGGCAGCTCTCCACCAGAGCTGACCACTCGCATTGACATCTAGCAAACATTAAGAGGCAGGTAAAAAGGTGCAATGGCTCTGACGACGCACGCAGATTCTAAAGTTCTCATCTGATCGGAGCTTTGGCCGACCTACGCAGGCCCGCCGCGTTTAACCCCCACCAGAATCCTGTTCCTGGTTGGATCCCTGATTCGGGAGGAGAGCCTCGGCACGGTGGATTGTGCTGTGGATGTCGTATTCGTGATATAGGTGCGGTCGGGATGCTTATTTTGTTTTATTTCAGTGGGGAGGAGGGCCGCGAGTGAAACACGCCTGGAATCCACGTGTCCGAGTGTGTGCCGACGGACTGAGGATGGATGACGGAGGCCGTCCATGCGAGCAGCGAACTGAGCTGGTCGGAGCTTCGTATCTGGATCTCGACTTTGCTTGGCTCGGATGGCTTGTCGTCATTGATTGACTTGGTTCGCAAGGATCACACGAACTGCGTCCTACGGGAGGTTGGTGAATTCTTTTCATTTCCCGCACCAGGCGGCTGGACCTGTCTGCGAGGGATCAAGCTGTTCGTTAGCCCCATCCCAACCCTACTCCGTATCCTTTCTTTGAAATTGTTATGTGACTGTGAGCATGGCATGACATGATGACAGCACATGGATGCTGGATGCTGGACGTAGCATCAGCCCGATCATCGGAGCCGGGCTATCCGATGCTGGCGGGCAGAGGGCGGGGATAACGATGATGGACGGTGATCTCACCTTGAGCGAATCGACAAGGCGCCTCAAGGCAGGGCAAGGCAAGGCGGATGTGCCGGTTCGTCTGTCTCGCGGCCCCAGTCAATTGACTCTGGATGCAGCAGGAAAACGCTCAAATCACGCATACTTTCAACCGTAACTCGATACCAAGCTTGACATTGCCTCTTGTACTGGTTATAGAAATGGACATCCGGCTCCGGCGATGGAGGCAAAGGGGAGGGTCACAGATCCGATACTGGGCGAGACATGGCGGACGAATTGTTGAATTCGATGGGTCCAGCCGGTTTATTCGCTTATACGGTTGACTGAGAGAGCCCGCCCATTCATCAGTTTGCAATCCCTTGGAAAAGAAACCTGTTGAGCATGAGCCAAATCAAAACCACCATCCTTGTACACGGACGGGTTATGGGTATCACAGAGCCAGGGGACTAGAGCCTCCACCAGCCTCTTTTATTTCCTATAATTGATCTCGATAGACCTAATTGGCAAAAAACAAGTCTCCCAGCCTATGGCTGCAGCTTTCTGAGTTACACATACCTGCGCCGAACTCTCGGGTGGCGCTTGGGCAGCCAAAGGTACCGCTTCAATTGTTGGGGTCATGCTTTCTGCCGTTGCCAGGTCTCGGCCTGAGGAATGTCAGATGAAGAGAGAGGGGCAGGGAGCTATGGAACCAGTACTTGAATTAATTCGTGAAACAGATAATACATGTATGAGGTAGAAATTAAGACCAATTCGAGTCCCTTTTCCAGAGGTCTGCTTTTTGTTCTCTCGTCTCTAGGTTATGTGGTGCTCACATGCTGAACTGCCGGCGTAGGACTGACCCAGGTACAGCGCCTTTAGTGCACATTGGTACCTGGAGGTAGCACCTGGCAAAAGTAGTGGTACCTGATAGTGCTAGAGTTAGCAGGCAAAGTGCTGGACCCCCCACCTGTAGCTCAGTACAGATACTCGTCTCCGTCCTTATCTTGGGCTCTCCGACCTCCTCCACCCACCCTCAATCCTGCCTCCCGCCCGCTCGCCATTCCCCTCTCTCCATCTTTGCAGCCCAGGCCAGGCCAATTACCCACGCCTGTTTGTTTGTCGTACCAGGCCGCTCTATCTCGTGTCTGGGGCCCCAGCGAGATGCCTCTCCCCCCTGCCTCCTTCATCTGAGGCTCAGCACGCACGACGCAGCTTAATCACCTCCCAAGTCGAGCTCTCCCCAGCCCGCTTGAGTACTTCGGCAGGTAGGTCCAGCAGCATCACCACCACATCACATCACATCACCTCAGTTTCCACACCACACGTGTACACGTAACATGCCCGCCTCCGCCACGCTGCCTGCTTGTCTGGCTGTACGATTGAGCGCTCGACTCATACCTGCTGCAACCCAGTCTTGCCAGTCCAATTGCCTGGCTGCCGGGTAGCGCATTTCCGAAGGCGCCAGAGCAAATGTACCTACCTGGTCGTCCTCCAGCACATCCATCGGTGAACCCACACCACCTTTGGAGCTGTGACCGGGTTCTTCTCATGTCATCATTTTGCCTGGGCCTAGCCTACTTTACCTGGTTGCCATCAGCCATTCATTATCGCGCATCCACCGACATCTCTCCCCGCCATCTCATCTCTGTACCCATAGCATAGCTGCGAATTATGGCATGACTGTCGGGCTAAACTTGATGCATAGGTCGCATTCCGACTCCAACTTTGTTCCCTTGCTTCCGCCCCAACGCCCAGCCCACCGCAGCACGCATCAGCCACCTTCTGCCCAGTGAAGAGACGAGTGTTGTATCGGCTTGCGTCGCGTTGCCTCTGCCCTCTTCTCTTCCACCTCCCATCCCTCCCGCCCTGCCTTCAATCTCGACCTTACACCATGGGCAACACGAATGGCAAAGAGTCGGATCCCGAGGGCCCATATGCGACACGTCGCTCCGTCGCTGACGCCTCAGCCCAGACCGCCGCCGACCGAGAACGTTCATCACGCAACCACCGTGCGAGCAGAACCGAGCTCAGTTTCTTGGGCATTTCGTCGTCCTCCGGCAACCGTGATCGTAACCGCAACCGCGAAGATGCACCCTTCACCCACCGTGAGACGAGACAGGAACGAGAGGCCAGGAAGCTTGAGCGAGAGCGGGCCGCTCGCCTGAAGGAACGCGAGAGGAGTATGAAGGAGGAACATGTCGACGGAGGCTTCCTGGTCACGCTCGGCACATATACCGGCACCGAGGACTACAGCAAGACCGTCGTGCGGCAGCTACTGGTACATTGAATTTGCGGCTTCCTCGGGCAATGTGTATCTGCATTGCCATGACCTCTTCCCGGCTAACATGTCTGTCTAGATTGAGCGTAAGCTGGCTCCCTTCTGGCGTGGCCTCAACGACTGGTCTGAAAGTTGGACCGAGCATCAACTTATCGCTGCTGCTCGAGGCCTTCCCATCCCCGCCGCTGATGAAGTGCCTGACCCTGAACTCGTCGCCCGCCCTCCACGAACCGATCAGAACATCCAAAACTTGACTGTGCCGATGGGACCTCGCACGCTTTCCGCTGCATCTGATCATAGTGCAAATGCTACTGTCTCTACGGGAAAGAGTTCTGCGTTCAAAGCTCCTCGAGCGAAAGCCCTCGCCGCTGCGCTGGGTGTGAGCTCTCGCAATACATCCGCTACTGAGTTGGCACCCCGGGAAATATTCCTGCCTAACGACCCATTCGTTAACGGCCAAGCACTCGAAGTGTTCCTCTACAAAGATGCCACAGAGTGTCCTATTTGCTTCCTCACTTACCCACCATATCTCAACCAGACTCGTTGTTGCGATCAACCCATATGCAGCGAGTGCTTCGTTCAAATTAAGCGCGCTGATCCTCACCTTCCCGAGCACCACCCCGATGGCCAGGCACGCGATCCGAACGAGGGACTGAACCCTGAAGATCCTCCCGAAATGCTCATCTCGGAGCCCTCAGCCTGTCCGTACTGCCAGCAACCCGAGTTTGGAGTTACCTACGAGCCCCCACCATTTCGACGTGGCCTTGTCTATTCGACATCGTCGACAAACATTGCTGCTGCTGGAACTCCCATGTCTTCACAGAGCTCATTTCATTCGACATCACCCGCCGCTGGTCCACCTACAACCCGTCGCCGCGGGCACAGTCTTTCTGTCAATGCACCCAACGTTATCACGACGGATCGCATTCGCCCTGATTGGAAGACAAAACTTGATTCTGTCAGACAGCATCAAGCACGCCGTGCAGCAGCAGCAACTGCGCTCCACACTGCTGCTTTCCTGGTTAATAGCGAGAATAACGACCAGCGCTCTATTCTGCGACCTGGAATATTCAGCAGTCGGAGGCATCATGGAGCAAGCTCAGCAAACCCTCCCGCCAGCGAGCGACCCGCTGAGACGGCTGCCCCAGACCCTGCCGATGGCTCTGACCGCCAAGGGCCCAGATCAGCAAGACGCACACGAATGGATGAGCTGGAAGACATGATGTTCATGGAGGCCGTTCGCCTGTCCCTGGCTGCTGAGGAGGAACGGAAACGAAAGGATGAGAAGGCATACCGTAAGGAGGCCAAGAAGCGTGAAAAGGAGGAGAAGAAGGCGCAGAAGAGGCAGGCCAGCCATCCGTACAACGGCACAAGCAGTGGTGCTAGTGCAAGTAGTCTCTCGTTGAGCGGCTTTGGCCGGAGGCGCGACAACAGCGGGGCTAGCAACCTGCGTGTTGAAGCTACCATTCAGGGGGCTTCGCAGACCTCGAAGACGGGCGAGTCGAGCCCTGCGCTGGAAACTAAGAGCACAAGCGTTGCCAGCTCGACGGACGCTGGGCCTGTGAGCAAGGGAAAGGCAGTCGATAGAGGCTCCTCATCCCCCGAAACAGCAACCACCCCTGACGAAACCCCAGCTACTGGTTCCCTGCCAATGCCCGCAGGAGGCCCTCCTCGAGGAATGTCCCACCTCCGCCAGATGAGCAACACGTCATCCCTCGGTTCTTCCGGAGTAGATACGCCCTCTGGGAGTTACACGGGTGGTCATGCCTCGGATTCTAACGAGAACAGCCAAGCAAACCGAAGCGACGATGTTGATCATGAACCGATGTTCAATTACCGCAGCCTGGCAGAAATGGTTGGTGTGAATATTGATGACGGAACCGCTACAGTACCAGAAGACGCCTCTCCCCACGCAAGCGGCGATCTGGTTCGACGGCCGCTCTCCCAAGTAAACGAGGACGAGAAGGAGGGGCCGGAGGCTGAACATGTCGAGAAATCGCAGCCTACTATTGCGCTGACCCAGGCTGACCAACAAGGGTCGGGCAAAATAGGGCTCGTTCAGAGCAACTCGACCGTCACAAACAAGTAACATCTTCTCGAGAAATAGGCGTATACCCTACGAACGAAGCGTTGTACCTGGCAGCTCCGCTCATCGATTTCGGCACTTTTGTGATCTATAAGAAACATGGAGGACTGGTGAAAACATGTCGAGGTCGTTACTCTTGAGAACGACAATCATTCATTCATATTTAAGCGAACTTTCCATTTATGACGCGGTCAATGAGTCTGGTTGGGAGGTAAGGTTTGGGGGGAACGGTATATAAAGGCGCTTGTATCTTGTATAGTCACCAGCGTTGATTATGTATTGAAATTGAAAATCATTGTTTCCTACAGGATACCGAGACGGTCCCTCCCTCTCCACTAGCAACCGTTACTGAATCGTGCCCTCTTCTCTGCAGGGCGTCTCGAAGCTGCTCCGCGCGTGCGAGCTGCCGGCCCAGCAGCCCAGTTACCTTCCTCCGCATCATCCTCGATCTTGATGCACACGGTAGAGTCACCGGGGCCGCCCGCAAGGGCCACCGCTCCGGACCCTTCCTCTGCGCGGTGCCTCTTCCTCGAGTTGACTGCTTGAGAACTCGACGGCTGGCGTGTGGCTTCGGTTGCAGGAGCTGGTCTGTTCCTGGGGGCTGGTTGCTTGTTTGGATGAGCGGGAGCTCGTGGGGGGGCTCTGACAGGTGCTCGCTTGGTAGCCTTGACGGGCGCTCGCCCAATGGCTCGTGGACTTAGGGAGCGTCTTGACTCGCTTTCTGACTCCGAGTCGGAAGAGAGGTCGCTGCCGTCTTCGCTGCCGTCTTCGCTGCCGTCGCTCCCGCTCAAACTGCCGCTCCTGCTGTCGGAGTCGTGGCCATCATCACTGCCGCTGTCACTGCCACTATCGCTGTTGCTGTCGCTGCCACTGCTGCTTCCGCTTTCGTCACCACTGCTGCCACTGCTCCCACCAATGTCACTGCTTCTGCCATTGCGCGGCTTAACTACATGTCTCCTCTGAACTGGGGGCTGCTGGGCCGGCCGAGCAAGAGGACGCTTCCTCTGATAGTTGCTCCCGGGCCCATCAGAGTCATACATGGATTCCTCCTCCTCTTCCCACCTTTCAGCTTCTCTGGCACGTATGCTTCCATGAGTGCCAGGAAGAGTGGTGCACCCATATAGGCCCTCTCCCTCCGTGATTTGGAAGTGAACGTATACCACCACTCGGCCGTCCTTCACCTCAAAGGCGTTCGCGCTATCCGGCCGAAATAGATCATATGCGCTTCGGCCACCTTGTTGTTTAGGGAGGGCGAGGAGGCCACCGTGCTGCGACCACGTCTTGCCAAGTTCAAACTCGCAGCCGCTGGCGATTTGCGCTTCAAAGTTGGGCGTCACGTACTTGGCGATCCATTCACGCTCCGAGAGGCCTTCGCTTGGATGGAGCTCCGTCCATGGCACGAGCTCGAGGTCAATCGTTTCTAAAATGAGGAGCGGTCAGAAGATGAGAGACAAGTTAGGGAATTTTTAGGTTTAACCTACTTAACATCATGTCGCCGACTGGGAGGAAGAAGCCGCCCATGTAGCCCCCGAGGGCCCCAATGGCCACGAGCCGGACCGGGAAACCCTCTGGACGGCGGTAGGGTACCTTGTTATTGGGCGCCCCGTGATAAGGCCTACTGACAGGATCGTAGGTCCAGTCGAAGATAGTCATTGCTGTTTGGCGGGTTCGCTCGGAGGTCGAGTCGGGTGTTCCTGCGCCGCAGCTGACTTGGAGAGACATCGTGGTGATTGTGTACTATGTTTCAAGCAGCGAGGCGAACACTAATGTCGTTTTGAGGGCTAGGAGAGAAGGATATGGGAGAAGCAGAGTCGAGGGGCAGCAGACATGGTGGGATCGGGTTCAGCTGTTTGGGTTGGATTTCATATTGCTTTTGCCAGACACGCCACTGGCTGCTACGGTGATGACCGCCGGCGACAGACACCCTGGATGTTTTTTTTTGTTATTTCGCAAACATAAGAGTGTTCTTCACATTGGCTTGATGAGATATATGGTATTTGAACGATATGATGCGTGCAGCTTCGCGCCATCGGTAGTTTTACACGTCGTTCGGCTCCTCCATGAGAGCAGACCAGCAACGACGTGTTACGCCTATCACTACTGAGTACAGTTTCCCACAGGTGCTGAAACACTAGTGAATCAAATGTCCATTTAACCACTGCGGGGGTTGATAGGTTATTAGCATAGTGACCCTTTGTTGTTAATAGCCTGGCGGAGTATCGCACGCTTTTAAGGTGATGGAATTTAGTAATGAAGCTGCCATTTCCCATATTCTTGGGATTATGCTGTTCTTGCAACCATTAAAAAGGATTGGAGGTATGCGAGGAATTATTGGTATAGCTACTGCGTCCATCGACGTCTTAACACCCTACTACTTCTACTGTTCTCCGAATCGGCGCCGACGAAAACAACACCTACCTGATACACATATTCCGTTGTATTGAGACGTTCAATGGCAGATGGCAGTAGCGGACTACAGCGTCTCCTGCTACCTATAGCCAAGAATAGCAATTCCAGACGAGGCGACATCTCACCATTTTTGCGTTGACTTTAGTCTAGAGAGTCCTATTCTCGTCTCGCCAGCGGACTTTTCCCTTTAGTGAGACACTTATCAGCCCTGCATTCATCCTTGTTCTGTGCTCGGCTTCGTAGATGAGGTGGTTCCAAGGCATGGGGAGATTAAGAACTTGTAATGTTCGCAACGTCACCCTGGCCGAATTATCCCAACCACAAAGGCATGATGACGAGTATGTGTCGAGAGTGCCCCCGCTGGGGATCGATCGATAGTTGGGCGGGAAGCGCTTCGTCCAAGGGAAAGTTTGATCGACCGAGCTTCGCAAATCATTGAACCAGGAGAACTCTTCTTAAGGCGCACACGAGGTACCAGCCCAAGACCAAGGAGCGACAAACATAACCCCCAAAGGATGCCGCCATGTATGGGATCGATCTTGGCTAGTGCAGGGGCTCTGTCGTGCGCTGAAGTCATCGGTTTGTCTCTGTTGTCAGTCTTCGTTCGCGTCGTCGTGCCATGCATGGGGAAGCTGTCGGTTTCTGGCTTGGCGATGGAGGATGTACGGTACTCCTTCGACTATCGGATTAACTGTTGTCAGGAGTTGGACGTGCTGAGACTCGTTTTCGCCATTTCGGGAGGTCGCAGCTCTTCTCGTGGAAACAGGTCGGCCGGAAGAGGAATGTTTGGTGGTCTTGCTTCATCGCTGTGGCCGGCAGTGGTGGTCTTCGTGGATCGACTGCCCCCTTAACGGTTGTACCTCTGGCATACCGCCGTGGTGCAGGCGGGAGAGAGAATTGCCGTTGTCTGAATTGTTGTTGGTCATGCTCTGTCTGTCTGGCAAACAACCTCACCACCAACAGCCAATGCAATGGCCGCCTTAGTCATCAAAGCACCATTCCACAGATCCACGCCGCACGCCAGTGAGGTCATCAGCATCATTGCTACTCGTTCACCGCCTGTATGATTGATTGCCGAGGGTCTGAAAGGGCATTTGCAGCATTGCAATGCCCGCTTTACAGCTTCCCAGGGGTCTCCATGACGCCCTCTCCGGCCAGGAGCTACCCTTTCTCATGACACTCGGCATTTCCTCCCCTGCACCAACACTCGGTCGTTAACTAAGATCAACACTTGAACCCTCCCAGGGATTATTAAGTTATCCAATGAGACAGGTTGGTTTCCTAATCTCAGAACCGAACATGGAGGTGGATATTCTGTCGTGACCCTCAACTCTCCTTGGGCAATACGAAGGCCGTTCTGCAACTCGGGAAATCAGACGCTTCTGATGATGGGAAATGATGTGTCAATATTCCCTTGTATTCTGCCTCATTTTCCTCTCAACATACTAAGAGCAAAGGGTCAATAATCATGAAAAAAACTAAATAAACTAACGCGAACTATGGAATGGACGGCGGGGTCTTGTTCAATCAATATATTCCAGGATGTCTCGATGTCTCTTCAATCGTGTATCATATTTGAAAGGCTTTGGACCCATGAGCTATATACAAAATATGCCATAATATTTTCACAAAAATGCTTGAGATAAAAAAATGAAGAACTGATGCAATGATGATGCTTGCTTGAAAATGACCATGTCCCAGCACGTGTTTGTTTGACCTGATTCTCCTGCTTCACCCTCCTAATTGATAGTCATACTGCTTCAATGTCCGGCTCTTTCATGAGTTCACTGATACTGTGTTCCTTGCTCACATGGTCGATGAGCGTATCGGCCGTGGGGCATAGCATGTCGCTCTCACGATGTTTCCTGCAGAGAACGCAGGCAAAGTCCCCGTGGTGAGTGTGGCACTTGATGACGAAGCGTGCGTTGGCGACAAATTCAATACGCCCTTGACGTCTCTCCCTATATCCGTCTGGTGATGGTGGCGGGGACGTGCGTTTCTCAATGACCCAGCGGTCGTCAGATTCCACATCGACCCGAACACCACAGTCGGGACATCGACAGTCATTGCGGGGAGCGAAGTTGATCGCAAGAGGCTTGTGTTGAGAATATTGCAAGTCGAGGCTATACCAGCAGTATAGGGGATCGGACTCAACAACAGAAGGCTTGACAGAAGACGGGGCAACGGACCTAACGGAAGACGCGACAGAAGACCTCCTTGAAGATGACACAGGAGACCTAACAGAAGGCTGGGCAGGAGACCCAACAAAAGGCTGGACAGGAGACCTGACAGAAGGCTGGGCAGGAGACCTGACAGAGGGCTGGACAGGAGACCTAATAGAAGGCTGGACAGGAGACCTAATAGAAGACTGGACTGGAGACTTGACAGAAGAGTTGGAGGAACGGCTCGGAGGACCTTGGGTCAGTTGCAGCTGGCGGGGCATCTCTTCAGGAGCCGCCAGGGCCAGCCGCTGACGTTGTTGACGGAGGGCATCTAGAGAACCCTCCCGCGCAGCGTCAGACGCAGCGATGAGCTTTGCCTTGTCGGCGCGATTCAGTTTGCGGCCAGACTCTAGAGCATCCTGCAGGACGTTGATGACAGTTTGCTGAAGAGTGATGACTTGTGCCTGGAGCTTGTTCTCGGTGGCCATGTCTCCGATGGCGAACCTTCTGCCCAGCTGGTCATAGCCAATTTGAAACTCGCGGTTGATGAGCGCGCTGGACCGCTCAAACGAGTCGGAAACTTCGTCTCGGGAATTGCGCCTGGATTCCTTTGACCCCTTCAGCTCCCTCTCTCGAACTTGTTTCTCTGACTCCTCGATTCTCTCTCTCAGCTTCTTGATCTCCTCATCTTGCGTTGAGTCACGGATATTCTGCTTCCTCCTCTCTTTGACCTTGTCCCAGAGGCCAATAGACGAGGTGAAGGTACCGATTATGGTGGAGCACACGGTGGCAATGATAAAACCTTTCTGTCATAAGTCTCAGCAGGCGTTCATGCGTTAAGGGTTTTTGGTGGTGTAAGTGGACCTTGAGGTACTTATCCTCGATCATATTAGCGTGATTCATCGTGCCCAATGTCTCGGATACCTGCTGCCAGCGCAGTTAGAATGGAATGTATTATGACCGAGAAACTTGCTAGGCCTCTGGTTGAAAAATCTGGAGTCTTGCTCAACGCGGTATATAATGTTGGCCGGCCTCAGGGGAAGGGCGAGACGGGCCGTGTTGGAGAGTCGCGCCGGTGTATGATGACGCACATCGCGTTGGGCCGGCTATTTCACACCGCAAGATTGGAATGCTTCACTGGTGCTCCTTCATCGAGCCGAGCCCTTGCTATCTCCTTTCCAATAACAGCTCATCCGCTGGTGCCCGCTATCTTAGTGCTTTATTGCATTATAAGATGATGTCATGACGGGGCCTGGCCCAATGCCGGAAATCCCGCCACACACACTCGAAACAGGGACTCCGTCAGCTAATCAGCTTCAAGCAGACAGTCCACTCTCAAGAACGGCCTGATGCTTTCAGTAAAAGGGGAAGTGATGCCCAAGCAACACCAATGGATATCTGACAAGTCATATCTCCTTGAAGCAGCGTAAGCTACAGCGATATATTTCCCTACTTTTATTAAAAGCCTCAAGCCGTGACCTCGGGCTACGTATAGTAACATAAGAAGCCTTCGCTAGTAAATTACTATAGTAAGTATTCCTCCCTATCCCGACCTGGCTGATATAGCAGTATATAAGGTTTCTGATAATATATAATTATATATCCGGGTTAATAAAGTATAATATAAGCAGCTAGTTAATTATACCTATTACCTTAATATCCCAGAAGCTGATAAATATAGTATATATTTTTAACCCTTCCTAATTAGCCCTCCTTACAAACTATATATTATATAGCTACTATTAATACCCTTATTACTATTCCAGGTATTTATACCTCTTTATCTAGCTAATTTATAGGCTAGCTATATAAATTATAATCTTCTAGCTGATCAGGTAGATAGCTAAGCCGGGCTTATAATATACCTTTAAAAATAGATCTCTTAGAGCTATACTAATATATTCAAAAGTAAGCTAATAGTAAAAACAGCTAGGCTATTACTTCTAACCAGATATATCTCTTACTCGGGATCTTAATTTATATAGGAAATTATACTGAAAAGTATATCTAAGACTATTAGAGTACTTCTAAGCTAGGTAATATAAAGCTAATCTACCCTATTATATAATTTATAAGTTATAAGATCTTTAAATAGCTATATTATACCTTCTGATCTTATAGCCTGAGAAGCTCTTATAAGGGCTCTTTTAACCGGGTTTATAAGTAGTTAGAGCTAATATAATAAGCCTCTCTTTAATACTGAATTCCTAGTATAAATATAGCTGTAGATAAGTATATTTAGTACTTTAAGGGTAGAATACTTAAGAAAGTAATTATTAAATCTAAGCCTATATCTAAAGGGTTTAAAATCTGGGCTATAGCTAAAGCTAGCTATTTCCTCTTATAGCTACTATACCTGCCTTATAAGGTATTTAACTCTATTAGTAATAATAAGCCTTGAATAAGGAAGAGGAAGAGAGATAATAAATATAGCTTTAATCCGATATAAGCTATAGTAATTAGCCTAGTAAAACAGCTACTACTAGCTATTTATTATATCTTCTTAGATAACCTCTTTTTAAGCCCGGATCTCTTTATAGTTTTAAGAGATTTAAATATTAGGGCTATAGGTATATACTATACAAACTATAGTATCTTTAAATACCTTATATAACTAAAAAAGACTAATAATAATAGGTAGCTAAAGTAGAATTAGTATTATACTACGAACAGGGGCTGTACGGAGCCCCCTATAAAAGAGCTGTAAACAGCTAGTAGATAGAAAGAACTTAAGCCTTAAGAATTATATTATCTTATATATAAGTAAAGGTATTATAAACCTAGGCTTTAACTACAAGCTATCCAACTATAGCTACCCTGTAGTTAACAACTAAGAACCTATCTATAATGCCCAAGCTGGTTACAGCCAGTTCTGAGCATAACAGGTAGTAGTAATTCTCTATTATTATAAGACCTCAAATACTTAATTCAATAGTCTAAGAGAGGGTAATAAAAGAAATACCCAGCCAGATACCGGCCGGAGCTAGTTTAAGAAATAATTACCTCAGTATATCTAATATTAAATATATATACCGAGTTACTGACTTCCTTAAAAACAACCCAAACTTCATACTATAAGGCAGATTATTATAAATAATAGCTACAGCCCGATTAATTAAAATATTTATTAAACAAATTAACTCCGAATACCTATTTTTTTAATTGCTAAAAGAGCGGAATATTAAAGCTCTAATCTATTAGAACTTAATTAACTAATATACAGTCAGAGCTATCTGGAACTCTGTAAAGTATATTATTTTAAAAGCCCAGGGACTGGGAATTATACCAGTAAGCAGACTAACTTTACTATATTTAGGAGACTCAGGAGCTAAGTTAGCAGAAAATAAAACCTTAAGGGAATAAACAGATATAGGTATAAGCAAAGACCCTGAAAACACCCCTATTACCTCCTTAACTATATAAAGGCGGAGGACTTCAGTTAAGATATAGCTAGGCCCGGAATATCTTATGTAATTATAAGAATAACCCCCGCTAGTTAGACCTATTCCCAGATATTTCCAGATATATATACCAGGAAGAGAAAGACCAGATAGTTCTGAGTTATTACCGAGCAATAGCCGAATATAGGAATAAGGATCTCCCTCCCTAAATCCTATAGTTAGCTCTAATAAGAGTTCGGACTTAATAGGAATAATACGGAGAAGAGATACCCTAACCTAACGCTCTGTTCTAATAATATCTAAAGGCCTACTACCAGGGAAAGATAAGGAACTACTCTTCCCAGGGCTAAAGTTTACCCCGAGAACAGCTAACCTAGGAACAGTTATAGAGGAAGTCAGAAATAATTATACTATTCTAGTAAATAAAATAACTAAGGGCCTCTAGAGGAATTCGGATATTCTTACGGAGATAAGATTAATAACTATTACTCTGCTTGAGTAGATACTTATTTAATTAACTATATTAAATAGCAACCAAACTATACTGGCGGTATCTACCTCTGGGAATAACCCAGCTCAGCTAGAAAAACTAATATCTATACTATTAGAAAACCTAACTTAATCTAAGGATAGTAAGGCTAGCTATAGATAGATTAAGACTAAGTAAACCCAGGATAATTAAGGAAAAGGAACCTTAGCTACTATCTCTCAGACCGCTAATTCAGATATAGAAGCAGCTGCCCTAGCAGTATCAGGGGTAAGTATAAACTCAACTCAGTTAAAGGATACTATATCTACAGAGTAGAATAATCCCGCCTGGAATATATCTAATATACAGGGGTATAACTAAGTAATAATTACCCAGCCAGTATAGAACTAAGAATAGCTAAACCTAAACCTGAACCAGTAAGAAGTAATTAGAGTCCTATAGGATATATATATACCTAAATAGAAGTTAACTAATATTAGTATCTTCTAGCCAGATATAAGCAAGGAGCTAACTAATAATAATAAAGTCTTTATAGTTAAAACCTAAACCGGGTTTACTAATATAACCCTATAGCTGAATATAGTATAAGATATAGTAGTCTCAGGTAGCTATAAGAGGGCTGAATATATCAGAATAAACCTATAGTAATTATTCAGAGGAAGAGCTTTAGCCTGGTAGCAGTAAGAACTAAATATAATTAAGAAACTATTAGCTAGATTATCCTTTAAATAATAGGAGATAGTACTAAAAAAGTAATTCAGTTTATAACCTACTACAGTATTAAAAAAGCTCGCCTTAGTAATATTCTCTAAAGAAGACCTGTATAAGGATTAATTACTATATAATTATACAGCTAAAGTATTCTAATAGGCAGCTATATACAGAGAGATAAGTATACTCTAACAGCTGCTAAGAGTATATAATACTCTTAATCCGAAGTTAAAGATAATATATATAGAACTATCTACTAATAATATAAAGGCTGATTAGTTAAATAAAGCAGAACTCAGGAGATAAGATATATCAGACCTTCTGAAAGCAATCAGGCTATAATAGTATTATAAAATAATAGACCTTACTAGTCCAGATATAAATACTGCTTATCCCCCCCAGGGAGAGTCCGGGACTAATAGTAAGGCTGAGAACAGCTACTTCTCTAATCAAGACTAAAGGAATAGTTACAGTAATAGGGGATACTAGCTATATAGTAAACAGTATTAAGACTATAATTAGTCCTTATAATATAAGAACTGGAGTCCCCCTCTATATAGTAGCAGGGACTAGTAGGAAAGAAGAAACTATAAAGTCTCTTTCAGAGGAAAGCTAAGATTCTAGTAAAGGCGATTTATATACTGATAATACGGATTATAAGAAAGCAGCTGATTTAAGAATAAAGCTCGACTCAGGGTTAATAACTCTAACTTTAATAATAAAGAAAGAGAGCTAAAGGATAAAGACTATATCTTTATTAAAGAGTTCTCCAAGGAGGAAGAAGAAGAAGCCTTAGAGGAGGAAATATTAAGCTTTACAGACTACTGTAAGATAGTAGTCTATATTCAGAAATAAGTCAGGCCTATACCTTTACTTAAAGAATAAGCCTATATACAGATTATACTATAGCCAGAGCAGGTAATTAAGGCCAGCCTATATTCAGATATATCCAAAGAGTTAGAGAAGAAGGTATATATATACCTTAAGATCCCTTTAAAGTTCGATAATAAAGATAACTCTTATAAGGTATATATTAATACCAGTACCTTAACTATTCTAGTAAATAAAGAATAGCTTAAGAAGTACAGTAGGAATATATACTATTATAGCTAACCTTTAAAGTAAGTAACTAGAGTTAACTCAAACTTCTCTATCTCGAAAGTAGTAATATTTAACTTCTATATACCCAGTATTACAGCAGGAGTAGAAATATATACCTACTTTATAGTTACTACCGATATTATAACAGGACTAGACCTAAAGTTACTACTAGGAACTTACTTCCTATATAACTATAGTAT